CTTCCTTCCGTCCCTCCCTCCCTCCCTCCCTCCCTCCCTCCCTCCCTCCCTCCCTTCCTTCCTTCCTTCCTTCCTTCCTTCCTTCCTTCCTTCCTTCCCCCTTCCCCCTTCCTTTCCCTCTCCCCTTCCTGTCTGCTGAGTTAGCTGAGTCACAATGTACAGCCTGAGGATCAGCCACCAATTACTGAAGCCGTCTACCAAAATGAAGATGGTGGTCTTGGCTATATCTATGGCAGCAAGAAATTTGTTGCACCACAGTTTCATGCAAAAGGACAAAAAGGGACATTTCCATTTACCACATGGTCATCTAGGGATGAGAAGAATGGGATGGCAGCAACTCTAGATCTCATAGGGGAAAATGGGAGGGGGGAGTGGATAGCTGTGGCAGAGCAACCAGTGAAACAGGTATGGGCTTAAGCAAAGTTATAATGTCACTGAAGAGGAACAGAAAAAATCCAAAGATTAGCTATGGTCCTCCTTTCAGAGCATTGGGCTTTGGTAGGTGCCCAATAATACCACGCTGAAAGTTATTATCAATAATAAAGAAATTCTGATTCTGAGGATCTCGAGAATCTCAACTCCAAGCACACTCTGATCTCTGCCCATCTTTTCTATATCTTAGCCTGGGACCTCCCACTATGGAACACTTCCTTCTTCTGATGCCCCTCCTGGGTCTGGTGAGCAGTGAATTGCCATTTGTACAAAGAGGATTCTGGGACTTCTCCATGGACGATCCCTCGGTCCAAGAAGAGGAAGAGGCTTCTGGGATCCTCCCTACTTCGAGTGGATCTGAGGCAGAAGACATTCCTTTCTACCCAGGCCTCTGTCCCTTTGGCTGTCATTGCCACCTAAGGGTGGTCCAATGCTCTGATCTGGGTGAGTCCCTTTCCTGAGGGGGAGGGAAAGATTACAGCAGTTGGGCAAGATTGTGATCTAGCATTTATTCTGGAGATCCTGGTGCTATGAACAGAGGTAAATGTCCATGGTTGGAAAATTTAAACCTAAGAAACAAAAGAGTTTAAAATATAAAACAATTGTTCCAAAATTATTGTTCCAAAAACAATATTAGAACATAGAATATCGGTAATAGGGTTGGCAGGGACCTTGGAGGTCTTCTAGTCCAACCCCCTGTGCAAGCAGGAGATCTATACCATTCAATCTAAATGGGTATCCAATTGTCAAATGCCAGAAATCAGGCAATCCAGGCAGTTCAAATGAATATAATGGTTTATTGTAAGCTTAAACTCTCTACTAGAATCTGAACTACTAAAAGTCAAAGCAAATTGGCAGTAGATAAGAGTCAATGGAATTCAAGGTGGGCTGAACTTAGATCTCTTGTGGGCGTGAAGAGACTTGAGACTGATGACACATTTGACCTTTCCCTCAGGCTCAACCTGGTCACCGCCCTATACCAATTTTTTTAAAAAAACCTCCAGTGATGGAGCACTCACAACTTCTGGAGGCAAACCATTCCACTGGTTAATTCTTCCCACAATCAGGAAATTTCTCCTTAGTTCTAGATAGGTTTTTAGCAGATGGATGGATGGATGGAAGGAAGGAAGGAAGGAAGGAAGGAAGGAAGGAAGGAAGGAAGGAAGGAAGGGAGCACAGATAAGAGCAACCATCTGGAATTGTTAGATCTTTCCATCAGGCAAAGTATTATCAAATAAAGGAAACTGACATACTGCTGAAGTCTGCAATGCCTCTCATGAATCTTGCTAGAACTTCCCACGACAGCTACCATTCTGGCATCCTTTTCCTTGCCCCCACTCTGTCTGTCAAATAAGCTTCTGAGTGTAAACAAAGACCTCTTGGGCAGACTCTAAATGCAGTTGAAGAATAAAAGAGGAAACTGTCTATGTGGTTTATCCATTGTGCTAAACCACATTGTAAATTACAGTTGATTGGGTTCACGCCAAAGTAGAATGTCATTAGCTAATTTGTGTCTTTTTTTTTAACTAGATGAGCTATATCAACAAACCAAGTCATGATAATCCATAAGATGTTTACAAATTGTGGTCAGAGCATATCTTTATTAGGAACCAGCATTTTCTAGCCTGCAAAGTAGGACATGCTACAAGACATCCTTGTTACTTATTTCACAGTTATTATTATTAGCATTTGTGCTAAATAATGTTCTGAATATATAAGACATATGGCCTATATGTACAAAGAGAGATAAAGTTCTTTCCCAAACTCTTCTCAACCAGTAAAATATAATAAATGGTGCAACTACACAAATAAAACCACTCTCAGACTAAGAAAAAGCACATACTACAATAAAATCAAAATTGAGCTGGCAGATTTATTCAAACCTTAAGCAGTGATAGAAAGATTAGAAATAAGAGAGATTAGAAATAATCTGTTGACTTGAAAATAAAATTAAAATAAAATAAAGTCTAAGGTTAACTAGCTAAGACCTAGTTAACTAGTTGCCTCTTTGGCAACAGCCTAAGAGTGAACATTGTTCTTTCCAAAATAAGATTTGTTGAAATGAAAGGGATAATTTTACAAGAATTCCAGCAACTAAAATATTTTAGAAACAATCTCTGCATTTGTTAGGGTGGAGATTTTGGGTTTCTGCTGATAAGGAAAAACCTCACAGCTGATTGTTAACATTACAGTCTCCAGAACTGTCTTTACAATCTGGAAACTATCTGTTATATTTAAATTTTAAAGAAGATGAACCTAAGATTAATTTATTAATATCGTTGCAAATGGAACAAGGGGGCACTTGAGCTTCACTTCTCTGCACTTGCTCAAAGTTGCATTTCACATTCAAATATATTTCTGTGAAATACATGGCAGTTGAGTAAAGTTTCAAATTATTTGTTCCACTTATTTCATTTCACCATAGTTGGTCTTCCCTTACAGGGAATCCACACCTTGCCTTGGCAACAGAAAAAAGTTTCGGATGAGGGTGGGACTAAAGCTGTCCTGATGCTCTTTATTGTCCACGTGTTTCTCAACTGAATGGGTGTTTTGCAGGTGTAAAAAGTGCAGGATTTTATAAATCATAGCTCAGAGTTGAGACGAGGCCACCATCCAGAGGATAGTAGGTTCAAATAGGATTACCAGGCCATCCCAGTGACTGCTATTGAAATACTAGTAAAAAAAAAAGAAAAAGAAAGAAAGGGTGTCTTTTTTTAAAACAAAAAACAAAAAAAACCTTTATTCAATTTTTTAAATTAAAGAGATAGAAACTAACAAAAACTAATAATTATGATAGAAAGTCCTGCAAGAGACTGATTGTGCTGTCACTCCTTTTCCTTCTCATACCCTAATAAATCAGGGGAGAATCTGCCTGAGCGGCTTCCTAATGTTATCTCATTTTTCTGGACTTATAAAAGGTTTTAGCCCCCTTCCAAGGTTAGAACAATGTGCATATGTGTATCTAGGTACATACATGTGTATGTATCTCCTTTAGCAATGATAGGCAAATTTCAAGGTTACCAATTCTGATTTTCAGTTTCATTTTTAACTAAAGCTCCCTCCGCTCCACCCCCAACAAAACCCTTTAACCTTGGTTGAAATAGATGCACTTAAAAGCAAAGGATTTGGAGTCCAGAAATTTGTTTTCATGAGCAGAACTGAATGGAGCTGACAGTTCTGTCTCTTAATTCCAATCTATTGATTTTGTTGCTGCTACAGTCAAATAGTGGGGACTCAGATATTCTTATTACAGCTCACCCAGAGATTTATCAAGAAATTCAGATTCAATCTATCTGTGCTCTTCAGATTATACAAAAGGGCACACTGATTCCAAAGCATCTACAGGTAATCCTTGATGTACAAACGTAAATCGAGCCTGGAGTTACATATGTACGTTGAGTATCATTAAGGCAATCATTAAGTGGACCACTAGGTGACCATGACTGAATTTACAACCTTTTTGCAGGGGTTGTTAAGCAAATGCCTTGATGATTAAATGAACCCATTTTCTTCAATCTGCGGCACGGTTTTTTGGGGGTTTTTTTGCCAGAAACTGGACATAAGTGCCAGAAACAGGCAAAAAACACTAAAAATTGCAGTAATGGGACTGTGGGTGCTGCAAACTGCCATAAATGCAAGCTAGTTGGCAAGTGCCCAAAATGTTATCACGTGATCACAGGGTGTGTGGCCATTGGAACTCCAGAAGTGGGATGCAAGCAGCTCTGGGGAGGTCTATCGTAGCTTTGAATGGTCACTAAGTAAGGACTACCTGTATAATCTAATACAAATTACAGAGGAGGATGTGTGAGGGGCATATTAGGGATAGCCAAGTCACCAGACTCAGAATGTGAAGCAATTTTTCCCGTTCCCTAGATTGAGATACAGCCAGAATCACCCAAGAAAATTACTTAAACAAGGTTCTCAAACAATAAATGTGAGGGAACATCTTTATTTTAATGTTAACTTTTCAATGACTTTTGTGTGTAATGCGCAGCTGTATATCTGAATGCATTATTTTGACACAGTTCTATCTTCTTGTATAAGAAGAAAAGGGTGCCTAGGAATGAAATTCTGATTGCCAGATTATCTGTGTATTTGTGAAACTCACAAAAGGCTTCAGAGCAGGTAATTTTTTTTTTTTTTTAAAACCTCTATTTTGCTTCCGGTTTTTTGAAACAGTCACTTGCAGTAGTTTATTCATTCTTCATTGAGCCAGCCCATGAATGGCCTTGTTTGAAGCGGTCAAGGTAAAATAAAATACAAGTCTTCACTATTGATAATTCTGAGCTGTGCAACAGGATTTCTTCATGGAGTTGTGAGTTAGGCCATCTTAATCACTGTAAATTAATAGTTAAGACTTAGAGAATAAATTAGAGACAGACAAGCAGACATTCAACAGATGCAGTTTTTGCAAGAATTTAATGTTCATTCCAGACAAGGCATCTCCAATGCAGTTGATAAAGAAAACATCTCTACCACATACTTTTAACACAGCAGCAACAATTCTGTGAATATTTTTCAGGCATGTGTAGAAGCAGTGTCTATCCCTCATCCCTCTTGTAGCCTTGAATAAAAGCTTGCTTCTGGCACATTAATCATGTGTGAGCCACATCAGATTTACCAAGTGTGACTTAGCATTGTGTGACTATAAACAGGGTAAACAGATGAATGCAGTATGTGGGCAGTGTCACAACGAATCCACATGAGGATATTGTGACTGTAATACCGGTAGCAGCCCATTATACAGCATGGTTTATTGTGATCCAGTGATCAGATCAGAATAAGACTGTTGTGCCAGGGCTCAGGACTGTATTTCACTGAGCTAATGAAGAAGTGACTCAGCTGCCAGTATTGTTCCACCCACGCAGAGAGAGGAATTCCTTGGAATGCTGACATGTTTTTGTTTTAATCAGAACCAAGGCACAGCTTGTCAGTCCAGATCATAAGAATTTTTTGGGAGGGAGGGAGGGAGGGAGGAGGAGGAGGAGGAAGTACAGCCAGTTATGGAAAAGCTGATGTGGAGTTCCGGATCATAATGTGAGTTGGGAATATGCCAGAGGATGCTTCTGCATGGATGCATTTCCCATCTCCAACTGCTGCAAAATATTTCAATGCTGGCCATGCAAACATCTTCGTTCCTGCTCAAAATGCTGAGATCAGAGCTCTCACCAGTTGAGCACTGCAGGAGAGCCAGAACTGGCATTCTGCCAGTGGCCCATTTTCTGAGCAAAATAGCTCCCAAAGCAACGCACATTTTTTTTGTTCTGTTCTAGACAGAAAGAGGACAATCAAGTTGCTGAAGGCATTTCTGTTTCATCTACACCAGTTCTGGCTGGTGGTGGCAGTGTCCCTCCAAACTCTCAATTGGAGCTCTGCCCCCTCCCTCCCATCAGTTTCTTCCATGCAATCCATTTTTGGCTGCAGAGAGCAAGGCAGGAACATGATGTTTTCTGCATGCAAGGCATTCGCCCTCTGCCCTTGAGCTATATACCATCCTTAAATACACAGTTCCTCTGTAAAATGACATGAAGCAGCTTCTCAAGACAATGCAGGGGAGCCCAACTCTTGAAAGTCGCCAGGCCATCACTGTTCTCAAGGAAACAGCAAATCTTGCAAAGACAGCTTATGATTTCCTATGGTTCAGTGGCTTACAATAGCCTCAGCCAGGTACAACTGAGCAACAGTACTTGGTGGATTGTATGTACTTTGCATATTGATGCAGAGCTAACTGTAAGGCAGTATGATACTCTAAAAGGTGGAGCTTCTAATCTTCATGCTCTCGTTCTTGTGGACATTTGCAACTATCAAGTTGTGAAAGTGATGTTGCTGTGCTGGACTGTCTCAACTCACTGGCTGACAGATGTGTGGAAAACCCAAACACTGTTGCTTTATGTCATACATTGTGAGTTAGCAAGAAACAATTGCAAGCAAAGGGAGCAAAGAAACTGGAAAGCATGCTGGACCACAAGTGCTGCCCCTTTTTGGTTCTCCTGGCCATTCATGATGCTCTACCTCACACACACACACATCATTGATTACGCTTCATGATAAGGGAGAAGCGGGAAAAGCGGGTGGAATACTTATTGCTAATTTATTTATACGGCTTGCAAGGTTTTTAAAATTCACTGATAAATTGTAAAACAAGAATTTGAATATTTTTCCTCCTTGCTTGGGTAGATAATCTTATTAATGTGGGCTGTGATTAATGTGTGGGGCTGAATAGCCAAGTGCAAAAGAAGCGAGGGCTCCAGAGCCTTAATTTCAGCAGGTGCTAAATTCATTCTCTTCTCTGGGATTCACAGTACAGGGCCCCGTCCACTTTGGCTTTCCAGCCTTGTCTAGCTGGTCCTGTTTCAGCCTGGCCAGGCCTATCTGCCCTGGATATCCCTTCATCTATCTGTGTAGCCAATCTTGACTTTTCTGACTTGCCTGTTTCTGTTTTTTCCAGGTCTCAAGCAAGTGCCTAAGGAAATCTCGCCAGACACCACATTACTAGATCTGCAAAACAACCACATTACGGAGCTGCGCAAAGATGACTTTAAAGGGCTCTTTCGCCTCTATGTATGTACTGCCAAAGACCCCTCCCCACTTCTAATGGATATAAGTAGGACAGGAGAACCTAGCTGGGTTCACTCTGAATATACAGTAGCTTCATTCAGGTGTAGCACTAAAATCTATTTATTCTGCCAGGACTGGATCCTGGAACACTGAACATCTCAACATGAATGGCCTTCACTATTTGCAACCTCCACTTCTCTCAAACACCTGGGATTATGTTTCCTGGAAACCTTGAGCCACTAGCTGTATTCTTTATCATGATACTCTGCTAAAAGATTTCTGCAAGTCTCACTCCATTCCTTAAATTGTTTTTTTCCCAGTGCAAATAATTGCATCTATCTTGTCTACAGTATTGCTCCTTTCTTTATATGATTACCATCTGCAAGCAGACTTGGGAAGTGTGCAGATGTCTTATTTGTACCAATGGGAATCTGATACCTAATTTTTCTGCAGGACTTCCTCGCAAATTTCTCTAGCTGCAAAAATGGGTTGCCAGGATAATAATAGATTCCACCTTCTTACATCTATGTCAGCACATGCTTAAATGCTGCTCACATGTCATCTCTTTCTATGACTCTACCCACAGGCTTTGGTATTGGTGAACAATAAGATCTCCAAGATCCATCCAAAGGCTTTTAGCCCTCTGATTAAGCTGCAGAAACTCTACATCTCCAAGAACAACTTGGTGGAGATTCCTCCTAACCTGCCCAACTCCTTGGTGGAACTCCGGATCCATGAGAACAAAATCAAGAAGATCCCCAAAGCTGTCTTCAATGGGCTCCACAATATGAATTGCATTGGTGAGGCATCACCACCTCTCCCCACTTTTCTTTCCCAAAGGCCCGCCTTGTATTTGCTCCTTTTCTTTAGAAACATAGACACAGACCCCAATGAATGGTTCTCTAGAATGAAGAAAATTGCATCCAATATTGTGTGACATGTTGGTTGGTCCATTAAAAAAAAATATGGTTAATAGCAAGCAAGACTAGACCAAAAGGCCACTGCAGCTCCCAATGTTACCCAGTGTTTTGGAAATGCAAATATACATTAACAGTCAATTTATATTCTGACCTTATTTGCCTTCCTGGCATACGTTTTCATAATCATCTTCATTTGCATAAATTTATAGCATGCATAGAGTGATATGCACAATACAGTTGAGAAAAAGCACAGAATGAACATTAACAAATCAGAGTCAATTGGCTACATTTGCATAGAGGTCCTTTTCCATTGTTCATGTGAACCTATGAGCAAATAAAAAAAATCAAGAATAGAGGGCTCAGAAATCCATTTTTTTCACCTTTCCAAAGAACTCTACCTTTGCAAGCCAGCAATTTGGGAGGAATAAACTAAATATTGGCTTCAGATGAAGTTTGAAAGTGTTCGTTTCCAGTTTATTTACTTACTTAGGAACAAAGCATGAGCAAAAGAACTGTGGGAATCTGCATATACTTTTCTTCTTAACTGTGTTCATTAAGTATGTTTGAGAATAGATTAAAGCACAATCCACGGAAAGTTGAGCTTTTCAGTTTAGAATGTCAAATACATTCACAAAATTATTCTACTGCCTCCTGAAAGGACTTACATAGGCCTGGATCAGCTTTGAAAAACTTCTAAGATTTTAGAATATGTTAAGCTGAGGAGTTCTTCCCCCCTCCCCCAAATTTGACTCATTCAAAATACGATGCCATAATTAACAATATCCATTGTCTCTTTCAAAATTCCATCAAGATTTTTAGGGCCTTTCCCTGTAACTGAGTTTGTTATCTACTCATCTACATCCCCAGTAAATGTTTGTTCCCACCTCCTCTGCTAATCCCTATCCTGTATCTATTGCATTGGCTCCAAGTCTGCTCCAAATGATAATGCCCTAAATATACACATTGATCAAACCCTTCAGCATTGTCAACAGGCAGGGAAAACATCTGTCAGACTCAGCATGGCAGCAGGTGTGAGATAGGTGTGACCTCAGGGATCTATTAGGCATCACTAGACTACTTTGTGTACCCCTTCTTCCATGTCCCTTTCAGGTGTAACTCCAGCTGAATTACAGGTTTTAAAAAAACAAATAAGAATCACGAAGGGAAGTGAATCACGTTTAGCATTTCCTGGGAGAGCGGAGCACCATTGCAGCATTGCATGAATCCAGCAAGGCTATAACAATAGAGAACATTCTTAGAATAATATCAGATGAATGGTCTACCCCTATAGCGCAAATCTGTTGAATTACTTACACAGTCATGGTCTCTACACTCTCCACAAGCATCAGACTCCAGGGCCCAAACTCGGGCAAAGCTAGTTAGGCATTTGACACAGCACAGCTAGCTTAATAACTTTATATACTGGGATGAAGACACCTTAAACAGTTGACTGTCCTCTGACAAGATGGAAAATAGACACCAATTCTTATCAATCCCAGTGGTTTAATTCCTACATTTCTCCCTTTCCCCTTGTGTCTATGGAGATTATCAGTCATCCAGGTCACGATTGTCCCAAAGTTGCTTTTCCAAAGGCAACTGGACTTTCTTGATTTTTTCCCCTTGAAAACGTTTCGCTTCTCATTCAATAAACTTTTTCAGAACTACCATATTTCCCCGAAAATAAGACTGGGTCTTATATTAACTTTTGTTCCAAAAGACGCATTAGGGCATATTTTCTGGTTAGGTCTTATTTCCAGGGAAATACGGCACTAGATGTGTCTGGCTGGCTGACGATCTTAACTGGGGCTTATTTTTGGGTTGAGGCTTATATTATGAGTATCCCGAAAAATCATACTAAGGCTTATTTTCCAGTTGGGTCTCATTTTCGGGAAAATACGGACCCTGCCTTTATTACAACTGCAAGACCACTTGGAGAAAAATGCCCAAATTGCTCCACCAATAAATTTGTTTAAAAATGCAAACGATTCAAATTGATTTAAAGTGTAGAATCATATATACATATCTTATTCTGTTAACATCACCGTTGCATTTAATGAACATTTAATTGCTTTCCCATAAGCTTTGAGGGTGGAACTGCGTGTTTCAGGCAAGCAAGTACAATTTGCTTCTTCCAAGAAGAAGAAAAAAATGGGTTCAAGAAAGGGAAATTTGGAGCTGAGTTGGAGGAGGGTGGGAGGAGATGGGCCTTACTAATCCATAATCAAATAGAAACAGATTGTACTTTTGGCTCCTAAAGACTGATCACGATGTGCAGTATCTCTCTTACCACGTTTGTAGCCCTTTTCATTAATTCTTCCTGTACATGGCTACCTTAGAGAGAGAAGGAGAAGGACACATATATAATTTTTTTAAAGATATGCCATAAGTTGCAGAAGAGGGCTTGGGTGAATCTGGATCTGATAAAGCTGAACACTGTTGTTTTATATGAAACTACTTCTTTTTGCAGAAATGGGTGGGAATCCTCTGGAGAATAGTGGATTTGAACCTGGTGCCTTTGATGGCCTAAAACTGAACTACCTGAGGATCTCAGAAGCAAAGCTCACTGGTGTACCCAAAGGTGATAACTTCTCCATATTCTTTCTTCTCCATATCTACCTTTCTTCTCCATATCTACCTCTTAATAAAACCCAGGGCTATGGCTTCTCTCAGTTTTTAATCCCAAAGGTAGTGCAGAACTATTTTGTTTTTTTCAAAGAATACTGAGAGATATCAGCTGAATTCAGGGACACAGCAGTGACACAGGAAGGAGACCATATTTTTAAAAAATAAGACACAGAGATTTTCCCTTATTCTTCCCCTAGAACTCTGGTCTCTTCTTCCCAAAATAAATCTTTCTTTTTCCTGCAAGGATTCTTTTTTTTTCTTTTCAGTTCCCTAATTTCAGATCATATGGGATGGGGAGAGTTTAATGTTAGACTATATATAGTAGGATGGGAAGTATTTAGTATTAGACAACTGAGAGACAAAACCTGCAATTTCCTGGAAATCATATACAACTCGACTATGAGGTATTGATGAGCCATCATAAGTAGTGGAGGTGACACAGTGAATGGCATAGTAGCCATTGTCCTGATGAAGTTTTACAAGAAGTCCCATCTTTTCTGTTGCTTTCCATTGGGAGCAGAACTTTTTCATATATGCTAAATAGAAATGGAATTCTTCTCCTGTTGAGGAAAATTTCTCCTTTTCTGTAAACCAGTACAAATGTTGTGGCCTCAGAGCATTTCAGAACGCATTACTGCTATTGTATATCCCATTTTATTTTGTTTGCAGCATCATTCTCAGTTCAAAACATTAACGGCAGGGTTCATTCAACAAAACAAGCGTATTTGGTTAATGATGACTCAATGCTATACATGAATTCAGGCCATTGAGTTAAGCCAGGGAACTATAAAAGTTGGCTAACCATTGTTAGTGCATTGTGTAATTAGAGTTTCTCTCTTTTTATTGTTGCTTTATCTGTTTTGAAGCACTCTGGAATGCTGTGGATTTTAGAAAGACTAATATTTTCCTACTCTTCTCCAACCAGACCTCCCTGAAACCTTAACTGAGCTACATCTGGACCACAACAAGGTCCAGGCAATTGAATTAGAGGATTTGATCCGCTACTCCAAAATCTACAGGTAATAGGAGAGTCATTCTTGAAGAACTTGCCAGGATTGTGCAGATGAAATCTGGGGCAAAATAGGAAGGTCACTAATCTCCAGATGTTACAGAGCAACCTCTCTCACCATTGGCTATACCAGAGGTAGGCAATCCTGGCTCTTTTATGACTCGTGGACTTCAACTCCCAGAATTCCTGAGCCAGCATTCCTGGGCTATACTATCTGCAGTTTTTATGAGTCGCAACATCTGGAGAACTACAAATTAGGGTATGACTGAGGTACAAGGCAGTTGATTTCAGACTTTGCAACATAAAGATGAGAAATGAAAATAAGCTTGAGTATTTTTAAAAAAAGGAAATTATCCTACTTCAAGTCTGTCCACAATTTCTCATTGCCCATTCTAAACAAGGAAGCCAAAGCAGTTCCTTGCTTCAAAGTTAGTTGCACAGGAAAAAAAAAAAGGGGGGGGGGAATACAATAGTAGGAAGCAAATTGTGTTTTATCAAGCTGGCAAAAATGTGTTTAGAAAATAGGAAATGTTCAGAGTGAATATATAGTAAGAGTTATTTTTTAAACATGGAAGGAATGTTCCTTTTTTACTGGTCATCCTCACGATACTTTTGATACAAGTTTTAGTTTCCCTAGAGATGCAATTATGGTTCACTTTTTAGCATGATGTAACAATAATACTTTGTCTCTGGCCTTGAACCTTCTTTCCTCATTTCCTTTTCCTCTGGCCTTGTAATTCCAAGGTCTTTGCAGGGAATCACTTCTTGTTGTTCACAAAACCAAATGCCATACAGTATATGGAGTTAGAAGGACCAAGGGAGGAGATCCACTGAGTTTTAATTTTTGTGCACATATAGCAAAGTTGTTCCATCTCTTCCATAACTTGGTAGCTGACAGAGTGATCCTATCTTGGAGGTTTCTGCCTAGATGCCCCCCCCCTCATGCTGGGGACAATCTGCCCAGGTGCCAAATATGGGCCCAAAGTCAACTTCCATCCTCCTAATTAAAACATACTACAAATTATAGCTAAAACGGAGGGTTATAGATTTTCAAGAAGCATGTGTTTAAAGCCCAGATTATCTATAAGAAGCAAACAGGAAGTGCAAAGAGAAAACAAATGTACAGTATTCAAAACACAAAAATAGAGCTTTTCACCAGCTGGTGCCCAAAAGATACAAACAACCATTTACTCCCTTGTTCCTGACTTGCAATCCCTACAGTTGGGCCACCAATTCTGCTTCAGCATTTAAGAGGTGCATTTCTTTAAAATGTTTCACCAAATAAGAAAGGAGAAGAAGGGGAAGAGAGAGGAGAGGAGAGGAGAGGCATTCTGTTAAAATGAAGGAGAGCCCCCACTAACTACCTGGGTAGGCAGAACTAGATATTGATTCATTCCAGTTCTCTATTTCTAAACCTACACCTGTAACATCAGTCATCTCCTACCAGTGTCAGGGAGATCTGGACTGCCTCCCTCTCGTTTTCCTTTTTCCTTTTTCCTTTTTTTTTTTTTTTTGCCACAAAAGCACTCCTTCAGAATCTTTAACTGGCTAAAATGTTAAAATGTCTGGGGGTTTAAAATATCCACCCAGCTCAGCTGTGGTCTCCCTAGCAACAAGCTCCTGAGAAACTTCAACTGCCGTTCCCCCCCCCCCCCCTTCCCACAGGCTGTAGGTGAAAGCATTTTCAACCGTGCTCAGTGATTAGTCAGGATGCTGCTCATGACCTTGCTCCTCCAAGCTAGAGAAGAACTGCAACTGTATGAGGTCATCATAAGTAATCTTCCATGGTTCAGACTAGCAGAAGGTATTCCAAGCATGAAATGGGAGGTAGAAATATGCAAATGTGGAGCCTACTACAGCACAGCATGCTCAATATGGTGTATAATTAAGTGTGACCATGTGCAATTGTGCCAGCTGGTTTCTTTCCTTTCTCCCCTGTCATGGATGACTTAAAACAGCCATCACCAAGCCATTTTAAGTTATTGAGTGGTCTCTATATCACATCTAAAACAATCAATGAACAAAGATGGTGGCTGTGTGAATGTGATAAACAAATTGAACATGCAACCTCAAGTCAGAGAATGATAAAATATTTGTTTTTCACCATATTTTATTATAGAGTATAATTTCAAAGAATTAAAACAGTTTCTAGTCAGATTGAGAAGACAGGCCTGGAAAATCAACTGGCAAAAATTCAGTTTTCTAAATTTTTCAATTGTTTTCTGTTAATCTGATAAAGGAAATGACTTAATAACTGAAGTAGAATCACTCTTAGAAATAGTCATTAAGTTGTCCAGTGAGGCGAATTTTAGCCTATCCTCCAATTCATAAATTTATATTTGGAGAACTAATGTTGTTCTAAATAATATAACATAGATACAATAAAGTCAGTGCTTCATCTGAGAAAGATGAAAAAAATAGGAGGTGGAGTTTTTATTATTTTATTATATAAGCTTCACACCTATTTAAACTAGGCCTAAATATGATCTCACCGTTTTAAGTTCAATATCTATTTCAGCCACTAGAGGGGGAAAGAGCTATATTTGTTAGCAACTTTTTAACGGGTGTTCTAATTCCTTTCCTTTAAGCATTTTGATCTGAAGAGACAAACTTGATCAGGAAAGTCTTTTCTAAGAATTTGCTTTCCCTGCCTCTCAAGAGGCCATTCTTTTCATCATTTCTATTGTATAAAAATCAGACAAAGCCCAAAAGATTAAGGTCCTTGATTCAGGATTGAATCCCTCCACTTTTGATTTTTATGCATTGATTTTGGGCTGATTTGGATGCAATGACAGGAGAAGAAAGAATTTTCTGAGTTTTAAAAAAATGTTAATAGCAGCTTGACTGCAGTGCTAGAAAAAGGATTTTCATTTTTCCCTTTGGGTTGCTCTGCATATTGAATTACTACCCAAAGTTGTTACTGCCCCATAAGATCAAACTCAGTGCCCATTGGAGGCCCACATGCTTTACTGCATGGGGCATCCTAGCCTTTGATGAGGTACAGTTAAGACAACTGCTCAGGGACATGATTTTATCCTCTGCTTTCCACGTTGCATTTGTGTTCCTCCTTGGGGACCAGCTCCTAATGTTTGTCAATATTTTGGATGAAGACATTCAAGTTGAAGCCATACTCAGGAAGTCTGGCAGTTTTTCCAGCCAGAAAAGTCACTTATCTTAACGCTGGCCTTATTTCACACAAAATTGCACACAGAGCATTAATACCTCTGGAGCACAGCTTTCAGACACGCAACTCTTGTAAACCCCATGTGTATTCTGAGGTGGTGGTACAGCACTATTTTTCAACTCAGCAACTTTAAGATGTGTGGACTTCAACTCCCAGAAAACCCAGCCTGCATTCCCTAGCCAGAAAAAACACTGTGGTACAGTAAAAAGGAAGCTTCTGTTGCGTTCGCTTCTGCTTAAATAGGCTCCAAATAGCATCGCCATCCAGACTCTAGAAATGTGAACTTTTATATCTTACACCAAACAGCAGCCGAAATCCTTCTGCGTCTCCTTCTCACCTTTTCCTTATTGGTCCACTTATCCAATCCATAGCTGCAGTTGGTGTGGCACACCCAGACATCTGCTTGCTGCATGAAGGAATGAGGTAGCTGACTGGAGAGAATCAGACAGAAGATGGCAGCGTAATCATACATTTGTTTCCTGCTTCATTTGGAAATTGAAATATCTGTACACAAATGCACAGACTGATTGGTCTTTGTTTTCTCATTCATCACCATCTTCATCTGTCATCTATAATATTTAACTATATTGCCTGAGCTTTGATGTGCAATCTGTAATACAGACAGACACATCTTTGATGGGTAAGCTGCAAAAAAGCAACCAGGACCAAAAGAAATCTGGTCTTCAAATGTTACTTTCCCTTGGCTCACAGAGTCGAAAGGGTGGACTTTATCGAAGGACTTGGGACTTGCTCCTGTCCACAAACTTTATGCTGTTTATTAGATGGAAACTGAATTCACACATAACCAGTAGGAGCCAGGATGGTGGAGATGCTAGACTAGGGCAACTAGTTTCAATTCTGTAACTCAGTTAGAGAAACTACTTAAGTGATTTTGGGTCTGTCTTCTAGCTCTCCCTTCTCCAAAACTTTATTAGGGGAAAAGTAAGAGTGCTGTACAGGTAGTCCCGGACTTACAACCATTCGTTTAGTGACCATTCAAAGTTACAATGGCACTGAAAAAAAAGTGACTTACAACTAGTTTTCACGCCTACTACTGTTGCAGCATCCCCCTGCTCATGTGATCAAAATTCGGATGTTTGTCAACTGACATGTTTTTTAACAATTGCACTGTCCTGGGTCATGTGATTACTATTTGTAATCTTCCCATCATCGGAATTCCATCTAAAATTTTGTAATCAAAACAGGGCAACTGCAACAAAGATTCCATAGCTGAAGGAAGGAAAAGTAAGAAAAATCTTTACTCTTCCATTTCATGGCTTGTCCCCACCTCTGCAGTTTTAGACTTCCAGTAATTTGAGAAAGAATTTTGGGGCAGAGTGGTGGGGGGAACAAGGAAAAACACCTCATTGGCAAAGTGAATGCAAGGAAGTGAGGGCTGATCTTCTTCTGCATTGTAAAGTACACAAGTTGGCATCACACTAAATCTCCACTTAACTTTATATCCCCTTTCTCTCCTCATAGATTGGGCCTCGGACACAACAATATTCGCATGATTGAGAATGGCAGTCTTGCTTTCCTGCCTATCCTACGTGAGTTGCACTTGGATAACAACAAGCTCTCAAGAGTCCCCCCAGGATTGCCTGATCTCAAGTTTCTGCAGGTAACCAATAAGATGCAGTTCTGTGGTGAGAAAAGTAAGGTCCTGCATTTAGACAGGAAAAACCAAATCCACAGGTATGAAATAAACAATACCTGGCTCAGCAGTAGTTTTTGTGAGAAGGGTCTACGTACTCTGCTTAACCATGAGCCAGCAGTGTGCTGCAACTGCCAAAAGAGCCAATGCAATCCTAGGCTGCAACAACACAAGGCTAACGTCAAGATAATGAGAAGTGATAGTACCACTCTTTATAGTACTAGTAAGGCCACGCTTGGAATACTGTGTCTGTTTCTGGTCACCATCATATAAAAAAGATGCTGAGATCCTAGAAAGAGTCAGATAGAAGAGTAATAAACACGATAAGGGGTCTAAAAGCTAGACTATGTGATGAACAGTTCAGGGAACTAAGTATGTTTAGCCTAATGAAGGGAAGGCTTACGGGTGACATGATGGCCATCTTTTAATACTTGAACTGCTGTCACAGGGAAGAGGGGGTTAATTTATTCTCCAAAGCACATGAGGGCAGGACAAGAAGCAATGGATGGAAGATCTTTAGAGGAAGATCCCGCCTGGAACTAAGGAGAAGTTTCCTGACAGTAAGAACAATTAGTCAATGGAATGGTTTGCCTCCTGAAGTTGTGGATACTCCATCACTGGAAATTTTCAGGAAAAGATTAGACAACCGTTTGTTCGGGATGGAATAAGGACTCCTGCCTTGGGTGTGGGGTTGGATGAGAAGACTTCCCAGGTCCCTTCCAGCCCTATGATTCTATGACCCTATGATCTAGGTTTCAGGAAGGACATGGAATCTAGGAGATCATACTTCAAACTTCAACAATGAGCAACCTTAGAAAATTGATTGGGATGACATGACCCATAGATATCTAGAACTCTGTCTTCTTGATTCTGTTTTGAAATACCTATAGAAAACATTCAAATGGAACAAGACATTGCCATCCTTTACCAATCCATATATTGCCTTTTTGGTTCCAAACTGTCTTTCATGTCCCTTTCCATAGTGAATCTGGCTCTGTTGCACTGCAAGTCCAGAACTATGAACCCAGAACCCAGCAAACTGATTTTGCAAATTCTCTGTGGTGCATAAAAACAATATATTTATCTGTATTTTATAGTTTCAGAGTATCTTGTGCTACTGTAATAATCATGGTTATTTGCATGGAATTTTAAAATCTACTAGACAACCCATGATCCTTTGGATCATCTTTTCAAAGATCCTTATCAGATCCCTCAATACCTTCAACAGTGGCAGAGCTTCTAATGTACTTGAAAAATTCTTAATAATTCAGGAAGATATTTAGAGATGTATCTAGCTTGAAAGTAGCCCGTGTTGAACTGTATAGTGCAGTCAAACATCAGGAGTTCACCACAAGAAATGTTTTATGACATTTTGTATAGCCATAAAATGCTTTATGATAATTTTTATCACAAAATGTTTTTTTAAAAAATGACAAATTTCAATCCCATAAGAGTCATGGGTCCCAGATTTTGGATGTATTCTGTAAGGTAGTCCATTTGAGGTTGCTTGGTTCCAAAAGATTTGCCCTATCATGCACCATTTTGTCAAGGTAAGGGTTACAGATCTGAGAGCTTTAGATATAGTTATCCTGCTAGGAAAAATGGATATTGTACAATTTACAAAACTCAGTTAACAATACAAATAACAGCAAAGTTGGAAATTGTTGTGTCCTTGGAAGGACACTGTGCTGAAATCAATAAAGCTTATTTCTCGTTGCTGTAAAACCATTATATGAATTCATGATCTTTAGACATTCAGCTTTCCTATGGCAATCTGAATCAATTGAATCTCCTTCCCTTTCTCTTCCACCCAAAACTAACCCCCACCACATTCCCAACAAATTCCAATTGTTGCTAAAACAAACTTTGTTAAATATGTATACAAAAGGACCCAATGACTTAACTGGGATTCTGAGTTTTTTTGTTCTTCATTTTGGCTTACTAATACCATTGTTGGGAAAATAATTTGTCTGAAACAGCTTTCCCTAGCATAGTGCCTTCCAGCTGTATTAGGACTATAGCCCCCATCATTCCCAGCCAATATGGTCATCAGCTGCTTTAATAGACCAGTGCTAGACCCACACTCACAAAAACCACACAGGATGTCACCACCACACATCCACGCAAAAAACAAACCCAAAGCCACACCGATGACGAGGCATGACCACAAACCAGAAACCAGACCATAGCTGCATCATTAGCCACTTTAAACCCCTCCAATCCATACATGAAGCAAACTGACACCCTCCATGAAGAGGAGGCACAACCACGAACGCGAAGCCAAAAAATAGCAAGGCAGCCCAAAATCTTAAACCCCTCTGCAACTCAGACTAACCTGAGCACAACCAAACGAACACTCCCCCAGCCAATCAGAGCACAGCCAAGCCCCTAACCATTCAGAACACACCTCCACCCAATCAGAACACAGCCAAGCTCCCACCCAATCAGTTCATACCCCCACTGGCAGTTAAAAGGAAGAAACAGCTAAGACCACACATTGCTGCTCAAAGCACGAAGCTGAAAACACCAGCCTGAAGATGACGAATGGGACTTTGTCGAAACGTGGCCAAGACACTTCCAATTTTACGCGGGAGAAAACCCGAACAACCAAAGACCTACATACAAATACCCGTGAAAATCTCTCATATATATATGTGTGTAGGTCTTTGGTTGTTCGGGTTTTCCCCCGCGTAAAATTGGAAGTGTCTTGGCGACGTTTCTACGAAGTCCCATTCGTCATCTTCAGGCTGGTGTTTTCAGCTTCGTGCTTCGAGCAGCAATATACATATATATATATATATATATATATATATATATATATATGTATGTATGTGTGTGTGTGTGTGTGTGTGTGTGTGTGTGTGTGTGTGTGTGTGTGTATATATGATGTTTTACAAAAGTTTCACCATCAAGAATGATAGATTCCATGCGGTATCTGTAGCCATTTTGTTAGCTTCAAGGTATCTCAAATTCAAACGAATATGATCTGAGGGAAAGATACGTATGTTCCTTCTTGCTTATGGTCTTCCTGTTCTTACCACTTGCAGAAATGTTATTTCCCATCGTCTCATTATGGGGAGAGGCAAGGTTTTAAACAGGAGTCTGTCTGTTTCCTCAAAATCTTAATCTTGCCTTAATTTCTTAGGCTTCTGGAATTTCATCAAGTGTTACTCATGGACCACTAAGTGTATCAAAATGGGAAACCTGAACACTGGATCCAGTTTTAGCATACAGATATAGGTCTTTACAGGCAACTTACAACCATTCATTTAGCAACTGTTTGAAGTTACAATGACCCTGAAAAAATTACTTATGACAGGTCCTCACACTTATGACTGTTGCAGCATCCCCATGGTCGCATGGTCAAATTTGAGTACTTGACAGCCATCAAGTATTTATGATGGTTGCAGTGTCCTAGAATCACGTGATTGCCATTTCAATTTCCAATCTCGCTTCCAAGTCAATGGGGCAAGCTTAATGACTATGTGACTCATTTAATCACTGCAGTGATTCACTTAACAACCATAGCAAAAAAATCATAAAATCAGGCACAGTTCACTTAACAACCACCTTGCTTAGCAATAGAAACTCTGGTCCCAGTTGTGGTTGTAAAGTCGTGGACTACCTGTGTTCAAGATAAATGTCTCCATTGATGAAGGTAAGTCCAGTTGACCCTCCACTTCTAACCAGTTCTTATGTCTTCTTCCACAGGTGGTGTACTTGCATTCCAACAACATTACTCATGTTGGCGTTAACGATTTCTGCCCTGTGGGCTTTGGGGTAAAACGTGCCTCGTATCATGGAATCAGCCTTTTTGGCAACCCTGTGCCTTACTGGGAAGTTCAACCAGCCACTTTCCGCTGTGCCACTGACCGCCTGGCTATCCAGTTTGGCAACTACAAAAAATAAAGAATAAACGAGGGAGGGAGGGTTGGGTATAGAGGGACAAGGTAAACCCAATGGGGAAAGGAGGGGGTGGGAGTAGGGAGGGGGGATGTGAAAAAGGCAACAGTGAAACGAAGCCTGTTCTGGAGAAGTGGGAATCACCGGTAAGGTCATGCTAACAAAAAAGTCGAGAATTGTTGGCTTCTATGAGCCAGTCAATATCCAGGATAGAGCAAGGGATGGGAAAGAAGTTCATAGAGCAAAGGGAAGAGAAATAGATGAAGATTTTACAATATGGTCCATTTAACTAGCCTACATTACTCCTGCATTTGAAATCAGCTCTTTATGATCTGCAAACAAGTACTTGTCTTTCTAGTTCCAACCGGTTTGATGCTAATGCTGGCTTGTTTGGGGCAGAACAGGGTGGGGGGTGGTTGGGAATTGAAGGGATTCTGGGCTATAGTTTTGTTTGCATGAGCAAGTCCGCTCTATCAGACCTGCTACAACGGTATTTTGTGATTTGTGATTGACTTATGTGCCCCCTGAATTTAGCAGCTTGCAATATGGATGTCATTTTCTGACTGCAACCTTCATATGTTATAGAACCAATGAATTCTATTTCTGCATTTCTTTAACTTGCAAAATCAGCCTCTGTATATCTTTTTTTTTAAAAAAAAAAAAAGAGGAAGGCACCTCTATATAATGTACATCAATCTTATACCAATTAAACTACCATGGCTCCTGCCAAAGTATCCTGGGAATAGTTTGGTGAGCTGGCTGCAAAACCTCAACAATTCCCAAGATTCCTTGGGAAAAGAAAGTGATTAAACAGATTTAAACTTCTACTGTGGCTTTTATATACCTAAGCCTCTTGCCGCTGGCAGTCTGGCTTTTAAATCAGTGTGGCTGGAGAAACACCCATTATTCTACTCTTTATTACCATCTTTCTTGAAGAAAAATGGACCTTGTAAATTATTCTATACAATGTAAGTGGCCTGTCTTGATATCTGGAAATGCTGGTTGTTTGAGAAGATTAAGATGTGAGCAAACGTAATGTGGGATTTTTGACTCATCCAGAAATCCAACAGCAGTAACAGCAACAATCCTGTGCAAATTCTGCTACCAAAGTCCCTAGTTTCAGTACAGATCAAAGTATATCACCCTTTGTTCAACTTGGGTTTCAGTTACCACAGCAAGAATGACATTTCGGCAAGGTTGGGCAGATAATGGAAGAAACACCATCCTCTTTTGGGGTTCTTTCTCTTAAATAAGAGCGGCCCAGCTTGTCTCCTGTTCCAATTAGCCAGGCCTTACATCAAAGAAGACAATGAGAGTAACTTGTGGGTGCACAGAAGATCCAGAAGTTTTCTCAGTTCACTGTCCCCATTCTTCTCTACCCCTCCTTGTTCTGCCTTCACTTATTCTGGAAAAATGAAGTGGAGAGTAGGTCCCTGTGTCCACATCCCCCTCAAAGTGTTTGAATATCATTAGTTGTATTCCCCACCCCCACCCCATATGGTTGCTTGGTTTCCTGAGGCCCAGATGCTAAGACGCATTTAGAAGAGGTGTTCATTGCTGTATGCAGAGAATATAATGAGGGGTCCAGCAATGCTGTCCTACATTAGTAACTCACCTGTCTTTTCCAATTTAGTTTTCTGCCTTCAAGAACATTTAGAAAAATCTGCTATGGAGGTAAATAATGGCATAACTGGAGGAGATCTTTTGGTTGGTAACTCTGTCCAAAAGTCTCAGAGGCTGAGGGTTAATGGACATGTACCGATTGGGGTATAGTGTTCAGCTCCAATTTGATTCATTGATCTGAGATTTCAATGGTTAATTTGATTAACTTGGAAACTGATCCAAGGAATGGAGTCTGCCTGATTTTCTGACTTGATGGGGGAGATTTTCGCTCATGCTCACAAGCCATTCTGTATAGGCAAATCAAGTTTTCTGGCATCCTGACTTTGATCCAAATTGTCAATCTGACTTGGAAGTTAATTTGATTCAGAGATCCAGTCCAACTATTACATAACTGAATCGCCAACGTGAAGCTTTTGCACAACCCTATTATATGGTAGTTGGGAGGTGGGCAGGAAAGAAGATAGCAATGGTATTTTCCAAAATAGGAAAAGGTAAAAATAGGCCATTTGGGACCCAGATATTGAGGGTAGTACCTGATGGAGCTTGACAAACAAACAAACAAACAAACAAACCCAGCTCTGCCCAGTGCCATAGAAATGGAACCTGAAGGACATGAATAATGAAACCAGAAGAAGCAGACCCAAAATACTGCACTTCTATTCTTCACTCTGGGGCAGCACACTTTAGGGCAGCACACTTAAGATGATCAAGAGAATAGAGATATTCAAGAAGCTGGGGGGGGGAGAGAGAAAAAGAAAACTGGGAGCAGAAGTGGTAGGACAGCATTTTTCAATTACCCGAAGAATAGTGCTTAAAAGAGAAAGCAGTATTCCAGAAAAGGGCAGTGGCAATCCATTTCTATAACCCTACTGTCATGGTTCCAACAGATGAAACTCTTCAAAAGAACTTCAAGGCATTGTTTACCTTAAAGAATCTTTTATTCGAGAAACAAAGTATCGGCACTACATAGTTAAAGCCAAAAACTGAATTGCCCTCCCCTGGGCACAAAGTAGCAATTCCCTCCTCCAATTAACTGTGATAAATCACACTCCCCAATTAGTTTGAAGCCTGGGCTTTCTTCCCAGCTCTCCAGCCTGCCAAATCTTTATCAATTCTGGGCGCAATAACCTTGGATTCCCACAGCTGAGTTATTACTGTTATGACTAACTGGACTCTCATCCACATCCTCCCTCCCAGCATCAACTAACTCTAAAAGCGAAAGAAAAAAGATGGCTACATTCCCATCTGTCATCAAACCAAGAACATCCAATGTTAGCAGCATTGACATCTATATTGAGTGTGACCCAAAGACAACTTTATCATTTTACAGTTGTGCACTGATTCCTCTTTTTATGCTCAATCCATCCTATATCATTAAGTAGCAGCTCTTCAACCCAGGCAAGGAACTTTAAACCCAGAAACTTCAGATCTGCTCTCAGCTATGATAATTCCAACCCTAATTCAGAACACACATCTCCGTATCTTTAATCTTTAATTGTGTCTGTGTTTGTGTGAGGGGGGTATTTTTTTCTCAATCAAAAGCTGGGAAGAAAAGAAATAATTGTAGGAAAACTCCAAAGAGATTAAGAAAAGCTGAGAGAATTGTTGAGGCCACAAGTTTTGGGTCAAACAATTTTCTTTTCCAAGTAGATATCAGAAGAGATATTCTTAGAAGGAGTGCTGGATTTAGGGTAAGCTGAACAAGGAACAGTTTTGGACCCCACACAATTTCAGAATGTTAGTTTCTGATTCTGCAAACAAGTTCATTATTACTTATATTTTAAAAAGTAATTTGTTAGTATTTTGTATGTATATTAACATACAGACTATGAGAAAAAGAATTACATGTATACATGAACACATATTTTATAATATATATTGAACGCTTTAACAATAATAGAAACTGCTAATGCAAACTAGAATAGAATGAAAAAGAAGAAAGAGAAAGGGAGAAATAAAAATTAAAAGTGCTAAAAGAAAGAAAAGTGGCAGAAAACTAGAGAAAAAGAGAAAAAGATGTGGTTTTTAGTCTTCTTCACAACAGTTACAGCTACAATTATATTTTAACTTCTCTCTCTCCCTAAAGTTACACCATGACTCTCTTCTTTCTGTAATCTATCCTGTCTCATCATCAAAACTATAAATCATAAGTTCATTTTTACACAAAAAATCCATAATGGGTTTCCAGTCATCAATAAATGTACGCATTTCTATCTGCATGCATGGATACATATATTGTAGGCCGCATCAGTGACGGATTTTATATCATTGCTTTTTGCCCAGTTCTTAAGATCTCTTTATCAACAGACAAGTTATATGTGTATCAGAGGTAGGGAACTATGGCCCATTTATGACTTGTGACAAAATTTCCTTTTTTTCACTTCCTGCCTCTTGTCTTTTTTTATAGTCCAGAAATGCATGATGGAATAAAGGGAACCTTTATTTTTTTTCAGCCTATTTGCTTCTTCTGCATCCTGTAGTGCCATCACTAACGACATTGCACAGGCAATCTCTGGGACTTCATCTCTACTGCGTTAATGTTAACTGAGCAGCACTGCAGTGTCTTGAATTGCATTATCATATTTTTAAACTGTCACCAGGTGGAACAAAGGCAACAGTTAACCATTCAATACAAAAACATCTAGTTAAAGGAAAGGATACAGCTATAGGGACAAGGGAAAATAAGAGCAATTACCCAGGTATGAATTCTTGATTTGACCTCTATGTTCATATATCTTACAGATGTATGATGAACTTTTTAGAACAAGAAACTCACTTTTCACAATGATGTCCAGTTCCTGCAGAGTCATGTAGCTGAAATCTGTCTAGCTGTGAATTGGATATCTAAGCCTTCCTGCCTGGGAGCAGGAAATGTCTTCCTAATTTTGTCCTTCCTCCTGTTATAAAAATAGTAGATTTATGGGTTTTATTAAAAAAAAAACCATTGTGGATCCCAGTGCAACACTGACTCTTGTAGAAGTATCCAATAAAGTTAGCAGTAATTGCCACCTTTAGCTGTTATCACTGGGGTTGGTGAATAAAACATCTTTTGTTGATTAGAAACTCAAGCGCCAGTGCAATTCAGCCACAGATAGGGAGGCCAAAAGCAACTTTGTGCATTATTTTCTATAGATGTCTATGTATGTTTAGGACTTTTTTAGATGTCCACCTAAAAATGTAAAGTTTGTAACTGGCAAAAGAACATAACCTGCTGTTGAATACCGTATGTGATAAGGCAATCTAGATTACTACCTGCAAATGTATTTTTAACTGAAATAAATTTTTGGTATGTAGCCTATTTTTCCCATCCTTGAAATAGCCACAGACATCTATTTTACCACTTATATGCCAAAGAGAGATTTACAGCTAAATAGAGCTTCTTACTGG